ACTGTGTTGTACATTGAGTCTTTGGTCTATTAGTAAGACTGAATTATTGTTATTATAGTGGAATTTGTTTCTATGAAGCTTTCGTCGGTCCTGGCGAGATAATTTGTGCGGCTTCCTTCCCATACATGTTTTTAGAAAAAAACAAGTATATGGAGCACTAAAAGACCTATCCCAATCCTTCCTAATTCAAATCATTACCTCAACGCAATGTAAACTCTTTCAGATTCATAGGGATACTATGTACTGCCCTACATTATGAGGTTATAGGTGAGGTTAAGCTTTTGAAGGACAAAAAGTCCAGAAAACGAAAGATTAGTTCTGCGAACACTGAACTGACCTAGAATGATATATAATAAAATGATATACATGTACTCGTCACGACGTGGCATCAAATCGCCGAACCCGACCTGAAATACGTCTTTATTGATGTAGAAGGGATGAGGGACTGATCGCAGGATAAACCTGACATGGAAGTCAATGTGATAAAAGTTAAAGCTTACAGTAGTCATAGTAATGAATGACCAATAGAATGAAGTGAAAAACGTCCACGGTTCTATTTTCGACATAAGAACTCCACCAAGTGCTGTATAGAGAACAAGAATGGCTAGCACCAGAAGAGCGGGAATCCTGAAACAGCTTCACCTCAAATATGGGCAGGCGCTATTAGGAGCAAACCTTTGCTCTTCGATGATGTGCATATCGTGCCCCAAGCCATGGCGCTGACAGTGCTCGCACACGTGCTCTCGTCGTTTCTCTCGGCCACCACGTTTCACAAATATATAATGTTTCAGCTTCAGATAGTTACCATACATCCAAACCAAATGCTCCGAGAGAAATTTTCCTGAAAAAATAATATGATTTTGAAATAATATTAATAAAAAATAGTATAATTTTCTCAACGATCCCAAACGTCATCCCAAACGCCAGAGGCAGTGACCAAAGGATCACTGAAGGACAAATTTCCGTCATACCCAGCCTTTTGGATGTGATTAAGAAAGTTTGGGAAAGGAAAACCTACAAGCGAACTGAAAAATTCCTTTAACTAAGCTTATGGACTTTCTGCTAATAAGCAGCGTTGGTCTTCTGTGCTAACGCCAGTCTGAAAGCACATTTTCCAAAGGAGCTCCAAGAATGAATTCAATACGTTACCACT